AATTAGGGGTGAATTCGGTTCAAACGGTTCGATTTTCACCTAAATTCAAATATCGAATCAAAGTAAAAGTTTGGTTCGGTTTTAATGTTCAAAATTTTGGAAACATGGATTGTTCGATTCGGTTTATTTCGGTTCAGTTTCGGGTTTTGGGGTTTATACCAAAATATTCGATCTTGTTGATTAGAAAAATAGTATCTGGAAAACAAAAACAAAAAAATAAAATACATCAAACAATTATTAATAGTAATACAATACAAAAACATGCATAATTAAAAAGAGAGAGAAGAAACAAATGCACTTCGAAGCAATGAATTAGAGAGTACGTTTATTCGCAAGTTAAATTTTTATTAATAAACAACTTATTCTACTTTCTTTTTAGACAAAGATAGTTATGATCTAAAGTTTCATGTTTTCTCTAGAAGTATCATAATACATCTAGTATCAAACATTAATTTTCTAGAAGTAAGAATTAAGAACTAAACAAAATATTATAATTAATGATTAATTAATAAAATACCAAGTTTTAAAAAATTCGGTTTATTCGGTTTGGTTCGGTTTTGAGATGTGAAAACCAAAACCGAAACCAAACAGCTACTGTTCGGTTCGATTTTTTGAGTTCGCTTTCAGTTTTCTTGTGGTTCGGTTGTGTTGTTTGCATTCCGAGTTTTTACGATTTGGTTTTCGGTTTTCGATTCCTCCGACCTACCCCTACATATACAATCCCTCATTTCCTTTTTGTCTTTTCATTTCAAATGTGATTGGTCATATTTTGGGAAACGATTATGGATGTTTTCTTTTGAACTGAAATTTGCTGGTCTGGTCTGGCCTCGTCTGGTTTGAACTGATCTGGTCTGGTAAACGTCTGGACTCTGGTCTCTGTGTATTTTATAACTACAGAAGTCTGGTCTGGTCTGGTCTGGTCTGGTCTGATCTGGTCTGGTATGGTATGGTGTGGTTTGTTATGGGACTGAAAACCGTCCAAAAGTAAACATCCTATATCTACCAAATTTTAATAAAAAAAATATGTATGAGAGTTTTATAATACGTCATTTCCTTTTTCTTATTTGGTTCCAAATTATCACGAGTTTTACTTCTATATAGATATTTTTTCACAAAAAATGAGGTGACATTTCTCTAGTTAAATTACACTACCTTAATAAAAATTTGTATTACAATAAACTATCCTTTCGAGTCATTATTATTTCGAGAAAAACATTTTTTCAGATTGGACTGTGTAAGAAAAGCGCTTCTCAGCTTTTGTCTTAAAAATGTTAAAATTAGTGTTATAAAGTAACTTCTACTTAAAAAAACGTTTCTTGACTTTTGTGCAAAAAGTGTTTTTTTCCTTTTCTATTACATAAAAGTACTTATTTACCAAACATACAAACTTTTACTTTTTAAAATCATTTTTTTCTCAAACACTATTAACTTTTATTGCTAATCACTTTTTCCAAAATCACTTTTAAAAGTGCTTTTTAGCACAAGTAGACGGAATTTGTGTGCGAACATGATACGGATAATATGAAAATTTTATCCTTTCACTTTTTGGCAGATTCTTCCAAGCAAAAGCGGTGATTCCACCTTCATTGGTGATGCAAATACATTTGTTTGTAGCGTACTTCCCGAATCCCCTAGCAAATCAGTACGCTTCTCAAAAGGTAATTTATGTTTTCTTTACATAATTGAGGTTTATTCAAATTATGTGGTAAACATAAATCTATATATCTTAGGGACAACTAGATTTATGTATTATTTGGACAATATTGGCTAGACATACGAGAATTGTATGTCTAACCAATATTGTCCAAACAATACATAAATCTATATATCTTAGGGACAACTAGATTTATGTATTATTTGGACAATATTGGCTAGACATACAATTCTCGTATATAATTAAATATAACTAAATTGCATTGGGGATGAGGATATATGTCTGATACCCATGTGAAAAAATTGTTCCCCGCACTCATTACTCGTCACCCATGTAAATGTGCCTGATAGCAAATGAGTTCCACTAAACATATATGGAGTATGTATCAAATTATTACCAAATAATGACAGATTGACAACAATATTATTTATGACTTATGATATGACAAATATAGTACTAAAATTAGAGTGCAATTTTGTTCACCACTCTAAGGGCAACTCCAATGCTCTTGGTCCATTACAGGTGATGTGACAAAAAACTGATCTAGGTCTATTAAAAAAATTAGTTCACTATTCACAAAAAGGATGGTGCATTGTATTGAATGAGACTTCCAATGCGTAGCAATGAAGTCAAGTACAAAACAAAAACCAAAATTGGAAACTAAAGAGAAAAGCAAACGTATGACAACACATAAATATAGGTCCACTCTTGCTTGTAGAAAGTTTGCACCGAAGGTCCATTCGTGGACATTGTGCTGGACTTTGTTCCATTTTCTTAATTGCCACATAAGCTCCACCATGTCCACTTCTTTTTGCATTGGAGTAGACAATTCTATTCATGGTGTGCATTTAATGAAGTGGAACAACAATGGACCTATCAATTGGAGATGCCCTAAGAAGGGTGAGCATCACCCCCTTCTCTCATTTGTTGCCATGTGGCTTCTCACCCTCTTTGTTCTATATAAATTAATTTAACTTTTTATTCATTGTCCAAATTTTATAAAAAAATATATCAGATTTAATAACTTTTTAAGATTTTTCGAATGGTATCAATATTGAAAAAAAAAGTTGAACACAAAAATTCGTTTTTTATGAATATTCATTTCTAGCTGGATTTTGTTTTCTTGAATTTTTTTATAGGGAAAAGGTGCAAATAGGCCCATGTACTAACCAAAAAAGGTCAAATAAGCCCTTATTTTGGAGGCTCTGTCCGGACGTCACCATTTGGGGTGGTTCCCGGTGGAATTTTTTGATGAAATTTTTTTAGCATCGTATTCATGAAGTCTAGTTTACTCATACCAAATTTTAGCTAAAACTTCAATAGGGAAAGCATTCAAATGCATTCTTGAAGATAACTGCGCAGTTAAAAGCACAGTTATCTTCGAGAATTCATTTGAATGCCTTCCCGATTGAAGTTTTAGCTGAAAATTGGTATGCGTAAACTAGACTTCATGAATAAGATGCTAAAAAAATTCATCAAAAAATTCTACTGGGAACCACCCCAAATGGTGACGGCCAGACAGAGCCTCCTAAATAAGGGCTTATTTGACCTTTTTTGGTTAGTACATGGGCTTATTTGCACCTTTTCCCTTTTTTATATGCAGTATTGGTACCATATGAAAAGTCTTAAAAGTTTAAAAATTTGATATATATTTTTTTTAAAATTGAAATAAAAATTAAAAAGTTAAAACAATTGCCAAATAGTTAAGAATTGTCTTGCCACATGGCAATCAATTAGGGTGGGGGTGAACATCACCCTCTTTTGAGAGGGTAAACAAATTTGTTCTCCTAAAATTAGGACAAGACAAAAAAGTCACCATTTAACAATAGGTAGATTCTATGATACCCATAAGGTACCATACCTTTGTCCACATGGACCGATCAAAATGTTGCAGTTGAATTATTTAAGTCTAAATTAAAAATGATATACCTATTTGGACCAATCAAGTGAGTGGTAGGTACGGTACCCCATTTTTTAAATGGGTATTGGAGTTCTCACTTTAACAATAAAAGGATCGGAATATCGTAATACTTACTTCTCCTCTAAATCACGGTACACCCACTTTAGCTGCACGCCTTCTCTTTACCATCGCTCGATAGAGACCAGCCAGGAGCTGCCGCCTTCTACCACTCATCTCGTCGACTTCTCAGTGTTTATGCCCCTCGAACGACACCGGAAACCTCCACTTTGGTGAGCTTGGCCGACAATGAAGGCAAACACAAATGGTTTTCCTCTTCGACAAGCTCGAACGAAAATGATGTCGGACACAGCACGGTTCCGTTGCCGCTTCCCTAGTAACGCAAGTCCCGCGCATCCGGTCGTTACTTGTGCAACAGGCTGCATCCGCCACCGCTGCAATTTATATGTCTGTATCTTTTATTTCTTATTGCTCAAGATCATAGCAAATGATTTTGATTATTTTCTTCAATTGAGATTTGGATAGGGGAACGAGAATAGGGTTTGGTTTTTGTTAATTATGATTAGGAGGATTTTGCAACTGGATTGTTGGTTATTGATGGAGGAAGTTGTTGAAGGTGGGGTTGGGGTTGAGATGAAAGGTTTGTGGCCGCGCTGGGTGCGGTGGTTGGGGTGATCAAAGGAGATGTGGCGAGTGCAGGGGAGGGGGTTTTGGAATTCTAGAGGGAGGCGAGAATGGGGCTGGCCGGGGATGGCGGAAAAAGATAGGGCGGGGTAGTCACTAAAGATTAAGGCGGGTCATTGGCGCTGGTGACCGGCAGCGGATATATAGCGGTGGTCACTAAGGATAATTGGTTACGTCGGGTAATTGTAATTGGTTGAATCGGGTAACTGTAATCGATTGGTTTGGGTAACTATAATTGGTTGTGTTGGGTAATGGTAACTAATCAGGTCAAGTAACTAAAAATGGGCGATTCAAGTAACTGTAATTGGGTAGTTCCTATAACTGTAGTTGGGCGAATTGAGTAACTGTAAATGGGGAGTGGTATAAAAGTCATATACTACGTAGGTCTCATTTTGTAATTCCAAAATAGGACTACTATGTTATTCTTCCGGAAACATGAGTAACATGATTTAGTTAAAATAATTTTTTGAATAGCGTTTTACACAATTATTTTAACACATAATATATATTGACGTTTTTTAAAAGGAAAAGTACGGAAAATGTACTTGTGGTCTGACCCATTTTTCAGATAGGAGATGTGTTTCATTTTTTTACAAAGTAGGACATGTGTTTCAATTCTGTTATCACACAAGGGGTATGACGTCTAACGCCTACCGTGATAACACGAGGGGCAACATCATGCCCTCCCTATTTTGTTAAAAACTGAAACACTTGCCCTATCTGAAAACGGCCCAAATCACGCTACTTTGTACTTATCTCGATGACTTAAGAGCTAGTTGTGGGCTCAACGATTGCCGAGGTTCCTTATAATAGTAAAGTCTGTATGTACCCCTGAGATGTATGAAAATATACTCCTCCACTCCGTCACATATGTTTGCGCATAGTAATTACGTAGTATATATTTTGATTCGTCATTATGTCTTATTTTATTGAATTAGATGAGATACGGGTAATGATTACCTACGTATTGATCACCATATATAAGGTTATAGTTGCTAACATGTGTATTAAAAAATGGTATTGGCAGGGGGGCTTTTGTTCAGAGACGACGACGCGAACATGCAACACGTAACAGGAATATCATTTCTTGTGTTGACGTACGCTAAATCCCTGGCAAATTCCGGCAAACAACTGGATTGCGGTAACAACTTTGTTGCAACTTCAGCGGATTTGATCAAATTTGTTAAAAGCCAGGTGGACTACATACTAGGAACCAACCCCATGAAGATGTCATACATGGTCGGATACGGCGACAACTACCCAAAATCCATACACCACCGCGGATCTTCGCTGCCGTCGGTTCATGCTCATCCAGACTCATTCAACGGCGGCGATGGGTGGCAGATTTTTCATTCCTCGGCCCCCAATGCGAACCAGTTGACCGGAGCTCTAGTGGGAGGCCCTAATTTTGATGATGTGTATATTGATACGAGGTTCGACTCTACACATGGAGAGCCTACTACTTATATCAATGCCCCACTGGTTGGGGTCTTGGCGTATTTCACTCAGCACTAGCTTCTTCGTCGTTTTCATCACTGCTTTCGTAATATATACTTATGGCCGTTTGTATTTCATTTCAGTCATGGTTAAGTTTTTCTTTACGAAGTTTTAATTTGGCTTAAACCAAGGAACAATGTACGACGGACACGGACCACATGATGGCATGGCACTTGAACCACTTTAGAAAGTGAAAATGACAAAAAGACACTTTTTTGAGCTATGAAGCACGGATATTTTGATTAGGGTGCCGTATCGACGTATCGGAAAAATTCTTGCATCCTATACTCTAGGATACTCGTACTGTACGTTCTCGGGCCGTATCTGCAATTTTTAAAAGTTTCCATTTTGTTGGGTAATTATTTTAGAATTTCGGATACCCGTATCAACTTTTTTTTTAAACTTCTTAAAAAAAAAACTTTTTAAAAAAAATACTCAAAATTTACATAATAAAATTCTTAAAAAATGAAAACCTAAAAATCATATTTACCTTGTTTTTATGTGGTACACAACTAATGGGCATATTCCTATTTTACCCATCATTTTATCCCTAATTCTAACTATCCCTGAAAATAATAGCTCCAACAGGAATATGTATTAGAACTTTTAAAATATTGTTTTCTATCTTCATTACTTCTAGAACTTTGATGAATACTTGCACTTTTAATTTCAAAACTATAATTCTTTGACTAATTTCTTATTTTAATTTAATGACTTATTAACTATATTTATATTTCGAGGTGCAGTAGTGTATATGAGATAAAATATGAACTTATTTCTAAGTATCATGAAAATATAAAATGCTTCAATGCCATGAATGAGTAGACGTCAAAGGATAATAATTTTTTTCAAAAAGAAATTATATTTTTAATATTTATAAATACACCCCTGTAACTTTTAATATTTATAAATACACCCCCATAACTTTTAATATTTTTAAATATGGCCCCGTATCCTTATCCTACTTTTTTTGGTTTTTTCGTATCCCCGTACCCTTTTCCGCTTTTCCGCGATTCCGCGTTTCCGTGTACCCGTATCGGTGCTACATAGGTTTTGAGCCTAAGATGCAAAAAGTAAGGCCTCTTTCGAAGCTTTCGGTAGTTAAATTATTCTTTCCATCTAAGTTGTTATCTTAAGAAGGACCTTCCGAAGTTGTCTTCTTCATAAAAACAACTTACACTTTTCCATTGCACCTTTTTGACTTGGAGCAGTAATATATAATCTTCTCTTCTTCATTTTTTTCTCGCATCTAGATTCCCCGGTTTTTATTAAACCTTGAAAATAGTTAAATTTATAAATTTAATGATAATTGAACCTAACAAAATAAACAAATTATAAAACCAACACTCAATAGGTAACAATCAACAATTAAGTGATTAATTAATATCTAACATATCAACTAATTATTTATCAACTATTCATAATCAATACAAACATTTAACAACTACGAATTAAATCACTAAACTGATCACACAATCATATGTTCGTATTACTCAAATAGTCAAATAAATTAATACAAGTGAATGTTAAAAATTGTAATCCTGTGAAAGAAATAAACTAGAGCCGAAGCTTAAGGTTGAATTGTTGGAAGGCGTACCTAATACTATCGTAAGTGATAACCAGAAGAATTGAAGGCTTGGAGAATGGAGAGTCGGAGTGGAGACTGGAGTGGCCGGAAAGTGGACCGGTGGACGCCGATGTCACAGCCTGAAGCCAGCGACGCAGCGTGACTGTGGTCTGCGGAACAGAAGGCGAGGGGGTGAAGGGTTGAAAACAGGACGAGGACTCTGTTTACGGAATGGAACGCGTGTTAGTTAATCCGGGTTTTTTTATTTGGGCCTTTGGACTTTTTGGGCGGTACAAAATTAATAATTTTGGACAAAAAATCAGCCTACTTAAACATACTATAAAGAAATAATAATCTTAGTCCTAAAAAAATTCATTTTTTTGGCCTAGGGCTCCCCCCCCCAAAAAAAAAATCCCAGCCAGCTCATATATTGAGACAAAATCCATAATGTTCTTTCCCGCTTCATTTGTTGTCCCAAAACCATATCCGTTATGGATACTCTTAAAAGCATCACGACTTGGGCCCACATGCCCATTGAGGTTGCCTCCTATGACTATTTTCTCTCCTCTTGGCAATCGTTCCACCACTTCCTCTAGATCTTCTTAAAATAGCTGAGTGATAGATGCATTTAATCTCACTTGTGGTGCATAAGCACTTACCACATTCATAATAACATCTACTATTACCAATTTAATGTTCATAATGCGGTCATTCTTCCTAAAGACTTCCATCACACCCTTAATATAATCACACGCCACAATGATGCATATTCCTTTTCCTGTCTTCTCTCTCCCTGAAGACCACAACTTAAAAACTCCAAGATTAATCTCACGTGTCTTTTCTCCATCCCAGGCCACTTAGTTTCTTGCACACACGGAAGGTGAGGGAGATTAGATGAAACAAATGAAAGATATATAAAAATAAGTCAAAAGTCACTAACATGCCAAAAACTAGCAAAAATGAGGTGAAAGGCCAAGAAGAAAATTAATAGTGACTTTTAATATGGAGAAAGATGGAAAAGAAGAAGACAAAAGGAGAATAGAAAGAAATGAAAACAGAAATAAAAAATAAAGAAAATAATAACGAATACCGTGGGAAATAGTTTTTTTTTAGAAAGAGAATTAAATCAAACAAGGGGGTTGTCCATACCGGTAACTATGGACAAATATAGGATCACTTTTAAAAAATTCCAAAAAAGAGACTAATTAAACCCCTACCAGTGACAATGATCAATCGGAGTAGTGATTAACTTGACCGTGACCAATTCGATCGTGACTAATCCGACCGTGACCAATTCAACTAGTGACCAACCCGACCAATAACCATGACCAATTTGAGTCATTTGACCAGTGATCAACCCGACAACGACCGTGACCAATTCGATCAGTGACCAATTACCAATTAATGACCAAGACCAATCCGACCCTCATTAACCACCGCGGTTGTCCAACGGGGATTGCCGCCACCGCCCGACGGTTTCCACCACCACACCCTTGCCCAACAACCCCATCCGCACACCCCTGGCCCCCTCCCCAGTCCCCAACAACCCCAACACTCTCCCCCACCCCGCTCCAGCACCCTCCCCTCAGTACCCTCCCCCAGCCACGTACCAGTAGCCCCACCACCAGCCCCACTCCCCTCAGTACCCTCCCCCAGCCACGTACCAGTAGCCCCCAACCCCCTCCAGCACTCTCCCCAGCCCCCAACAGCCCCCTTCCCCTTCCCGACCAGCCCCCAATTTCTTAGCCTCCTCCCCAGTTTCACCTCAGATCGTGGACAATAGATTTGTCCCCAACCACCAAATTCGTCATTGATACTTAGATTTGGCCCATCTCGTTGCCAGATGGATGGACCTCGTAGGTGGAAGACGCTTACTCACATGTAGAAGACGAAGCTCGACTCACCACTATGATAATCGGCATCGATGGCCATCGGCGTCACTGGTGGTCGCCGTCTCCGGCATCTCTGATGGTCGTCGTTTCCGGCGTCTTTGATGGTCACCGTCTCCGGCGTCTCTGGTCTTCGACGTCGTTGCTGTTCGCCGTGTGCGGCATTCCTGTCTCCATTGTTGCTTTTGTCTGTCACACAAGCTAAGGAGAGAGACTTCCTTCGTCTCTCATGCTCGTAGAAACAGTTCGGGAGGCTCTTGGTCTCTTTTTCCTCCTTCACAAAAATGGTCCTATTTTTGTCTACTCATAAGTCACAGCTCTTATTTTGACATTATTTCGTCAAACAATATATATTGGATTGAATCGTCAAGGCTAAACCTCTGAAACAAGAAAAAGGATAAAATACAATAAGACGTTCCCTAATTAAATCGGAGCTAAACATATCATATATTTTCATATAAGAGTGAGTTAATTGGGATTTTTTTATTGTTTTATTAAAACTACATTACTCGTACATTGGGATTTTTTTTATCAATTTATTCTTTTAATAAAACTGAGGCTATTCACCTTCTTCGTCAACTTATGGAGAAGTATAGAAACACTCACAAGGATTTGCATTTAGTGTTCATTGACTTAGAAAAGCCAGGGGCGGCTTGAGGAAATTAGAGGCCCTAGGCTGAACCATATTGAAGATGAGATAAATTGAATAAAAAACACAATATGAAAATAGCATATTCAAAGTGTTAGATATAATGTTTTAGTATTCGAAATGATAAGTGTTTAAATGCAATCATATATAAAATACACTATTGGCCGTCAACACAATACCTACATATTTATAGGTAATACAAAAAGCACAAACAAACTAATTAACAAAAAAAAAACGTAAAACTTCTCAATACAATGATCCAATACATACAATATGTCAATATCAATATAGCAAATAGCAATATAAATACAATAAGTTTTAAATAATAATTTAGGAATTAGGAATTGACCTTAAATAGGAATTGAATTGACCTCAATTCAATAGACTCTCAAGGTAGGAATTGACAAATTGCCTTTACTGCTAGTTTGCTACTTTGCCGCTTCCGGCCTTTAGGCTTAATCTTTAGTGCTTCAGAGTTCAGACTTTAGAAACTGCTAGAGATTATACCAAATGTCCAATTTGATTCTATTTCACTATTTATTTAGATACTAGAGGATAAGGTTAGGACAGAATAGAGAAGTCACAGAGCAAGAAACTCACAGTTCGGATGAGAAGGCAGATCCTGCTTGCTTGCTCTTGCTTCGCATCATCACTGCTTTGGATTTACCAACGGCTGACAGTGAGTCGGCGACATGGATCGGAAACCCAGCAATTCTGCGGATGTGTGAAGCGGTGGAGTTCAGATAATTAATTAATTAATTATTATACAATTACGTAGTCCAAAGTAATACAGAGTACCAACAATTATTTTGAGGCCCCTTTGGCTTGGGAGGCCCTAGGCAGTTGCCTGGGTGAACTACCCCCAAAGCCGGCTCTGAGAAAAGCCATATGATAAGGTACTTCGAGAAGTTCTTTGGTGGGCCTTAACTAGAAAAGGCATTTCACGCAAGTATATCAGCATCACCATGGATATGTATGAGGATTGTACTACAAGTATCCGTACTAATGTAGGGAGAACCGC